TTTTCCTATCAAAAGTGCTTGCTTTGAACTCAATCTCTGCTCGTGTTTTATCATATGTACTTTGGATCATCTCTATAAATTTTGAAACAAATAAAATTTTGATTTATGATGATTTAGCCGAATTAGATGTACTTGTTGGTATTTATAAATTGGAATAATACTGTATATCGGAGTTATACCGTAAATTGGAATAATGACTAGCGTTTGTAGGCTGGAGCCTTAATTATTAGGTCTTATATTTTAGAAAAAATTTTCAATTTTTTAAATTACAATTATAAAGGAGAGAACAAGTTCCTGATTTTCCTCCCGAGTGTATTAAATAAGTACTACTTTATGGTTCAATAAATATAATGTTGGACCCGTATACTTCGCCATTCTAAGCAGAATTACTCTTTATTTGTATGTTCGTCATTGTTTATGTTGGTTTCTTTATTTGTATTTCGTCATTGTTTGTGTTCTCTTCTTTTTAATTACCATTAATTGATTTTTTCTTGTCATTTGGTGATTAATTTTATCTACTGTATAAGCTAACCATTGTTTTTAGATCATTAAATTCATTCGTTTTCTTCTACTGAAGTTTCATTATTTATGCCTATTTTGCTCAAGCGTTCATTTCTTGCATTTTAAAAATTGGAAAAGAATTTTTATTATCGTAAATTACAGTATAATATAAATCAGTTTTATTATTGATTTATTTTTGGAATTAGTCGTTGATGTATAATTTTTTTATTCAAAGTTAATGGTAGTATTAGGAATGAATATGACCGTTATTATACCAGCAATTTTTGGTATAATTAGTATAATATCAGTATAAGATGGACCAATAAGATTTATACTGTACGTAACTAAAAATTCAAATTTTACTGATTTTTAAATACCGTTATTATACCGTATAACGGTTATTATACCAAAAATATATAATTCCATCCCTAGGTAGTATATTTATATATTTTTTTACTACAGTATCTCTATATCTTTAAACTATATATATATTATCCTTTTATTAAAAGACAGTTTCTATATATATTTTAAGTATCCTGATTTAGGCTCAATTTCGAGCCTAAATCAGGATCAATTAAACAGGGAACTGGACATTTTGAAATTTCATAGAGTAAGGCTTTAAGGCTTTCACTTTGCTTCCCTTGGCTCCAGCCAATTACTATTCTATTGTATGATTATTTTAAATGATTCTTTCAAAACGTATTTTTGGCTAATCGTTGAAATTAAGTAGAGCTTATAAATTTATTTTATCGCATAATATATTTTTTATTTTACTTCCAAGTTAGTGCACTCGCATAAGTTAATACACAAATCTACTAGTAAATTCACTTTGAACAGACCCATTATCGCAAAAATAAGTCAACGTATTAATCATAAGCGTAAAGACGTATTATATAAGCAGTAGTAATGTTGGTTCTCGTAACGTATCTTGTTATTATTATCCAAAACCTTGGAGTGAGTTTACCATTAGAGGATTAAGTTAACGAATAAAATTGATATACTAATCCGTCATTTTGCTCTAGTAAATGCCGGCCATTCAATAAGTATCGTTCTTGATTAACGTTATATTAAAATTTTATTGCCCAAAAAAATTGTTTAATGCAATATTACAGCATACGATATCGATATAACAAGACTGACTGCATTAATAAAAAATATATACGTATATAAAATATTTGACAACTTATAATTTTGATACACCAAAAAAGATACATTAAACCGATTAGTGTACATAATTTAAGAGGAAAATTTAATATTGATTTAAACTTTATAGAGCATATAGACCTTTGGGACCTTTGAACCTTGGTTTCTATTTAAAAGAAAAAAGATTATTAAAAAAAAAACTTTACTAATTAAAGGAACTTTTTACTTACGTCTTTAAAAGCACTTTTAGACGTGTAGGCAGTGATAAGAATAATTTGAGTGATATTTAAATTCTTCAAAAGGTGGACTATTTATATCATAGATCTTGTTAAAACCTTTGTCAGTGGTAACCCATGGGGTCGGGGCAAATTCACGTGACCACGGCCAATCAAATTATAAAATTTTAATGATCACCAGCAAGAAACAAAAATGAAAAACCTAAAAAATACAAAGAACGGCAGTCTAAATCTACCTCAGGTAGGTTAAGTAAAAATGTCGGGAAGGCAATTTTGCTTATATATAACTATCTAAAACCTAACCTAATCATAATATAAGATGACCCTAACCCTAAAGTTAATCGAGAAAATTATTAAGAAATATGAGTTGCCCCCGCTTTAGACGCCCCCCAAGAAAGGAAATTTTTAGAAAATAAATCGGGTCTATGGTAAAATTATGCCAGGATTATTTTTACTTAATGGGCGGTCGGGGTTTCATTAGTAAAATTTTGAGTAATTTTAGCATGATTTTTTTTGTAAATTATGCAAGCCAATCACAATCGAGAATCTGCCGCGCATTTTTTGTGCGGTTCCTGCACAAAACCGCGCCGCAAAACATTTTTAGTTATTGCGCTTTGCAAAAAGGTGTGACCTTGCAGATCATGATGTCATGTGGAAATCACGGGAAATTAGGTGATTTTCCGAATTTTACGGATTTTAGACAATGCATATCGGTATATACTAAAATATTTGATCAATAGGAAATTTAGAATCACAGAAGTTTTCCTCTATCATCACAAAGAAAATCACAGGGTCACACCTTTTTGCAAAGCGCAATAATAACTCATGATCTAATGAATCAAATTTAGCGATTTTGATACCGTTCGAACTGTCTCATCAAGGCGCATCGAACGGTATCAAAATTGTTAAATTCCAATCACTTATCACAAGTTATTTCGTTTTAAACAGTTTTTATAAAAGGTCGAATAATTTCTGATCCAGTGATTGAAATTTAGCTATTTTAGTACAATTCGATCCGTCTCAATGAGACGGTCTGAATTGTATCAAATCCATTAAATTTTGTTCACTGTACCATGAGATACGGTAAATTTTATCAAAATAGGCCCCTATCTGTAATATTTTTTAAAAATTTGACAGGTATTTATAAATTTTTGGCCCAAATCTCCATAATTTTTATATTATCGCCATCACACCAGGTACTATTTACAGTTTTGGTAATATTGTAATCTAATAACTTGCTCACGTGAAGTTATAAACTTGTACGTCAAAAAAAACATTGTTTTTCTATCTGTTATTTCGTTTTAAAAAGGTAAAAATTTTACGTAATAATTTTATTATCTGTTATATTCTGGTATTGTCCAAATCGCTTCTAATAAAAGTTGATATCTATAGATATCTCCACGGTTTATATAAAACTTAATGAGTTTAATAATAATCTTAGGTTTAAATGTAAAAAAAATTTTTTTGTCTTTCAGGTCAAAAATTCTATTAATAAATATAAAAAGCGTAAATAAACGACCAATAAAAACGAACTTCTTTCATGCCTAATAAAATTTTTTTTATTCGAATCTATAGAATCAATGAATTTTAATTAGTTTGATATCAAGATGATTGATTCAAATTTTCAAACATCTATCAAAATAAAAAACCTGGAAAAACCTTTTCAAGATTTTGATCGACAGCCAACCAAAATTTTTTTTATTCGAATCTATAAGTCAAAAAATAATAAAAATTATTGAATTTGGTTGGGCAATTGAGATACCTTCGATTAATGTTTTAAAAAAGGTGATCTAGATGAGGGTCAATTTATGTAGATGATAATCCGAATCTATTTCTCCTGGATAATTTTTTTTTTTTAACGAATGTTCTTTAAACTTTCCACAATAAAAGAATATCGCCTTAATTATCAAAATTAAGTTATTGAGTTGCGCCTTTTTAAATACTTATTTTGTAACGGAATAAAGGATTTTAAACTAGTCATTGTTCAGTTACTTCTGATAACGACATATTTATTTATTCATTCATTAATCTATTTATTTTATTTTATTTTTTATTTTTTTTTGAAGCCACAAAAACAGAAAGCATTGTTTAATGCTAAGCATCCCGTTACGAATCTATACTGTGTTTCATAAAATAAACCTAGTACACAGTCTTAATAAACCTTAAGCCATGGCTTCAAACTATGCTGACTTTAATAATACACTTTTCTATCACCATTGAATTTGGGGTTAAATCTTAAACCATTATTTAGAAATCATGAAAATTATTATAATTGAGATTTTACAATATTATTAAATAAAAAAAATCTCTATATAAACTCTGAAGATTCCTTTAGCTTTATTCTTCACAATTCAATACTTTATAATAATAAATATATAATATAATAATAATAATTGAAGTTTAAAATTCAAAAATGAAGTTTGTCTCGATTATTGCTGTCATAACTTTGTTGGCTTCGATTGTGGTTGCCGGTAAAAATTATTCTTGCCCACTTTTTAGCGTATCACGTCGTGAATTCTTTCTAATACGCTTATTATATGTATTTTTAATTTTAGAACCACATGATGAAAAACGTGACGCAGAACCTTACTACAAACGTCATGATGAAAAACGTGATGCCGAACCCGATTACTACAAACGTCAATTTTACAAACGTCAATCGGCAGACACCGTTGACTATGGAAAACGCGATGCCGAACCCTATTACTATTACTACAAACGTGATTAGACAGATACCAGAATTGGTTCAAGTTTTCTTTAATGAAGCAATATAGCAATGATATTATTATTTTATTAATCATAAGCAATTATAAATATAGTATAACGTACTTTTTCATTGTTACAGTAAATATATAATAGCAGATATAGGTTTTCAAACTAATGAAAGTTCTGAAAGAGTTTAGTGTTATCAGAGTTGTCATGTCCAAAAAAAAAATTGAACCAATTGGGACATTGTAATTTGAACAAGTCCCTAATAAGATCGGTCTATTAATATTTTTCAGTCCATCTCAGTCTAGACCTGTCCCAACAAATGGTCCTTTAGTTATTTAAACCTCTAAACATCGTATTGGCTAGCGGAGAGAATTGAATCTTATGACAGTAATCGATTATGTAAAATACTTTTTTTTTTTTTTTTTTTTTTTATATATATATATATATATTTATATAATGATGTTGACTAATAATTTGTAAACCAAATTGAGAGAAACTTTTTTTTTTTTTTATGCATTCTCACTTAGGTTAATGCTAAGCTTTGGAAATTTATATGAACTAGAATCTGCACAAATTTTCGTTTTATTCACGAGGCCTATATTACATATTGATACCATAAATAATCACATACAAATCACCATAGTAACTAATGAGAAAGGGGGGCGGAGAGAAGAAACAAAGAGATATTATATCATAAATCAAAAATATTGAAAAATGATTTAATGATATGATCATTACGAATTGAAAGAGATGTTACTATTGGAAGGAATTTCGAGGTGAATATGATCATAACTATTGCTAAATGAATCGGATATTTGTTGTTGTTGAACCACTTGGACCTGAATCTTTGTAAATGATAATCCCAATTTTTGAAATGAATTTCGAAATGATTCTCTATATAAAGAATTAGCATTGTTTTTATTTGAACGAAATTGACCAAAGAAGCAACTCTTTATGGGATTTATCCGAGAATCTTCAGAATTTTTGGTAGAAACGTGGGAGATTACGAGTTTGGGAACTTTTGATCTGTTTAAGAATTCGTTACGAATATATTGTATTAATATTAACGCACCACCAATAGATAGCCCTATTTTAAATGAATAATGAAATATGCTTGTGATTATTATCGAAATAATACTATTTTTAAGATCATACGTATAATATAATAAAAAAATACCAAATATGTGATATACGTAGACAGCCACCGAATAAATCTACAAAAAAAAAAAAAAAAAAAAAAAAAAAAAAAATTATATTTACTTATATTTCTTAAGAGAAAATCTGTAAATAAATCTTCTAAGTTATAATTATAGCGGACTTATCGTATGATAATATAATACGATAAGTCAGTAAGCTGTGGTGATAACTTAAAACATTAATTTATAGGTTTTCTCTTACCATCACTCAAAACAAAAAGAATATTTACCATTGCAACCTGAGTAATGATACATATGATTATAAAAAGCTATTAAAAGATAACAAGATGAATATTGAAGCAAGCAATTAAATGTTCAGTATAAATAAAATTGGTAATAATTTAAAATTCAATAATATTCAGTAAATTACCAATTGAATCCAGATCACGAAAGTGTATGAAACAATTTTCTCTACTTCAATAAGTTGCAGACCTTTGGATTCTGCACTGATATGTATATCATCAGATGATTCATTTTTAATAGATCCTTTGACACTCTTAACTCTCAATATAAGACTTATGAGAAATAAAGTAATGAGAAAAAGGAGAACTAAATATATTATTAAACTGATTATTGGTCCGTATACATTTGAGCACCTGTTTTATTAATGTTAGGACGTAAAAAATTTGATTAAACATTAACTTAATTATTGTAATAATGATATCGACATACCACGATTGAATACTTCCATGTTCGCTGATAAATGTAATGGTATAAATTATAGAAAATATGATAGAAATCAAGAACATAACAATTTCATCTTTAATTCTAATTTCATTTTTCTTGCTGAACCGAGTTAGTAACGAAACCAATACTACTAGATTCATCATTAAATATATGACAAATGTTGTTATCATTCCTATCAAGCTACAGGTTGTTGTATTCAATGCCCTTTTTGTGGCTATTATACTGCTCTAAAATGCATTAAAAAAAAAAGTGTTTAATAAATCACAGATCAAATTATTAATTAATTAATAAACAATTGACTTCTTTTCATACATACCAAACCATATGTTTGTAAAATAGACATGCAGAACTCTGAATTTTTTATTATAGTATTGTTATTATTTTAATAAAAAAAATCAAAATTTTAGTAATTCCCGAGTAATGCTAAAAAAAAAATTAAGAAAAACTTTACCAATAAAAGCGAGATAGAATGGGAATTTAAGGCTGAAAGTCAATGGTAATTGATTCCTCCAAATCATAAAAGTTCTACATAAAATAAATAGGCAAATAACCAAATTTACCAGCACCAGCAATAAACTGAATCCAGCCGCCAAAGAATCATACGGATTAAAATTAATTTTACTGCTATCGCTATTGCTATTGCTAATTGATGGTTCCGAATTTACAATCTGGAAAATTATTATAAACAATAACAAAAAGGAATAGATTTTCTTCATGGTTTTTTTTTCTTTTTAAGTATCAATATGTAGCAACGATTGTTGTTAGTTGTGGTGTGAATAGTTTCGTCACCCACAAGTTGGAAAAAAATCTAGCTTTTGGTTACCAGAACCAAAAGAAAGTAGAAAAAAAAACCACTAGAAATTGCCCATCAGATTATACTGTTATTTCGAATTTTTATGTTTTAATAAAATAACATATGATTCGTATAAAAATTCATACGTTAAAGCTGGTCTATTATTCTTCGAGAAAGATCTCCCGTAAAGGTTTCAACTCATCGAAACACTCCGCTATATCCCGAAAATTTAATATTACACATATTTTGTATACATAACGATAACGATAATATAATTAAAGATTAGCAACATATTTAATCAGCTGTTGCACTGTACTACCCCTTTTTACTTTTCTTTGAAACATTTTTAGGTCCTATACGATACTTTTTAAAGAATAAATTGGTTTTCTTAATTAAAAAATAACAAATACTATGCTAGATGCTGCAATAATGAATGAAATATCTTTCAAAAAAAGATTTCTAACCGAACAAACATTTATTTGAAAATTGCCTTTTTTTCCTCCAGTAAAAAACACCATTAAGATTTAATTTTAGTTTAAAATCTAATCACTTGAAAAGATATAAAAAGCAAGAATAATAATGAATGACAAAATGAAAATCGAAATTTTGCCTAAAAAAAATTAAATGAAAAGAATGATAAAGTTACCACAATGAGTATCCAAAAGGAATTTGACAACTCTCGTAAACATGTTGAGAGTATAATAACAATTCGGGGTCTCTTAAAAATGTTAATAATTTTAAGGCTTAATAAAAATTTAAAAAAATTTCCATTTTTTTTTTTTTTTTTTACGAATTTTTTATAAATTTTAAGATCATTATCCCTTATTTCGTTAATACTGTACATCCATTAAAAAACTTTAAGGAATTATTACTGAATCCTTAAGCACACGAGTTATGGTATTTAATTCGCTAGTTCGATATACAAATGTTGCGCAAAAGAAAATTTTATAAATTTTATGATTATTTATTTTATTTAATTTTAGCATTTTGACGGACGATAATACATTATTGAATTTAATTGAATTTATTTAGCGTTAAATTGATTTCGCAAAAATGTTACCTAATTATCAAAAAAAAAAAACTTGTGTTCTCATCACGAATTAGATTACTCATCTTTTCTTGGCAGCACTCAATTAACTTTAATAATTATTCTAATATACAGTTACTACCTACATCAATACTACAAGAAAATTACAACTAACAACTACACTACCAGTCCGGAGCCATTAAGCACTAATTGAATTCACAATTACACATATAAGAAAAATATTATTAAAAAGAATAGAAGTTGTAAAACTGTATGATGAATAAAAAAAATAAAAAAAAAAGGAAATTGATAATATTTATTATTAATGAAATAAAGGGTAGAGGATACATAGATCATTTTTTATATTATTTTTGTGGTACAAACTATATTACTAATAAAACTTTTTACTGTTGCAATTAATTTTTATCAAATTTTCATATAATATAGAATAAGATATATTTTTTATAATAGTAAATTTTTAATAGATAAAATATTTTAAAAAAGAAAATTATAAATAGTGACCCATCGCCATGGCGACCCTATATATAGCAGCCAATCATATTTAGGGTTAGTAAAATTTATTTTTATTTTTTATTATAAAATTTAGAAAATTTGTAGCTAATTTTAGTTAATTAATAGTAAACAACTTATTATATAGTCACATGCTTAATTTTGATTGGCTAATCATATAGGGTCACCATGGCAATCTATCACCATAAAATAATGCTCTTTTAAAAAAATATACTTGTATATATTGTAAAGTTCTTTGTAATATCTAAAAATTCTTTGTAGTTACACAAAATTATTAATTTTGATTAGTTCAAATCAAATATTTTTTATATAATTTATATAAACAATTTATGATATCTAATTTTTAAACATATATATATCTTGATAAATATCTATTTGATTTTAATAAAATTTATTATGATTAGCAATATTTTATACTCTCTCTGTAAATTATTTTTACTAAATCTGAAGCTAAAGAAAAAACAGAAATAAGTCAAAATCAAGACTAAGAAATAGTACTAGAAGTACTAAATAAAAAGAAAGATAGCAAGAAAACATATATTGTACAGTAGAAAGATAAGGAAAATTTATTGCTACTACAAAAAAATAAGAAGAAGTAAAGAAAATTTGAAAAATTTTTTTAGAAAATTTTTAATTTTTTAGGAAATTGTTGTTACCTGGAATCGCAAATCAGATTTTGTAATACAAATATATGAAAAACAGGTAAACAAATAGACGTGTGATAAAAATTGATAGGACATGACATGTAACTAACTAATAGAAAAGAGGTATACAAGATAAGA